TGCTACATATCCATATCGGATAAACGACATTCCCAAGACAGTTGACTCGGGTGGTGACGGTCACCATGCTGAAAGTGAAATTAAATAGTTTGTTCTGGCAAAACATATCGTTATCCAATCATCCTATTTCCGAGATTTGGTCCTCTTTGACACATGGACAGTTCTTGTTATAAAAAATTACTTGCAAGGTAAGAAATATAAGACTCGGAAAAATATGATAGTGTCTTTGAACAGACTGCTTCGGAGCATGTCACGTGACCGCGAGGACCACGTGATTCGCGCATGGGCAGATCGGTGGCAGATGTGCATTAAAATCAGAGAGGGTCACTTTAAAAAATAATAAACACTGAAACGCAGTTTTATTTGTTTTATGGAAGTTATTCAATTTGTTCGCGAACTTTTTGATCACCCCTCGTATATATAAAGCAGAATTTATTCTAAAATTTTAACATATTTAACATAAGAAAAAAACACTTGACGTGGCCTTTAATTAACTCGACCTTTGGATATATCCAAAAATTTACATTGTATTTAACTTATCCTTATTCCATACCTAGAGATATGGTTTATTGCACTGTTTATTAAACACATATAGTTAACATTTTGCTTACACATTATCAAGACCTATCAAATTGGACTTCTATATATAGTTTTAAATATATATAAGCAATATTTTGAACGAGTATTAAATGAACGATGCAAAAAACAATATCTCACACCGCATAACATGTATAAGTGGAAATTTTAGCGAGAGGAAAATTTTGCGATCTGTCCTTAAAAATTGCTTTTTCATTTTTAGCAAAATGAAAATTTAGCGATTTTTAAAAATGATCACTAAGGAAGCTTTGAAATAGAACGCAATTAATTTTAAGCGATACTCAATTTTAGTGATCTCATAATCCTCGCTAATAATGCCAAAATTAAATCCTCGCTAAAAAATCTCCTTTTACGGGAATGTGGTGTTCACATATAACATGCATAATATAAACTTCAAATTTTCATTACAATTTTAAATCTCTATGGATCTAGAGATCACAATGTCGAATCTTGCATAGAAATCTTAAAACATAGAAGAGATAATATTGCTTGTATCAAAATAATGTGTCCAGAGTACAGTGAATTTTAAAGACACAATGCATTTTTGTAATACAACCAATTTAGTCCACTTTGAAACCTAGCTTTAGATGCTGAGATAGTATTATCATTTATTATTATATACACCGGGAGAAACTATGGTATTTGATCCTAAAATCCAAAAGCTTTTTAGGTAGATGTAATTTAGTGGCCAGAATTTTTTTAAAAAGTCACGAGTTAAAAAATGACTGAAAAATTTACAACAGCTAGACGGTTAATTTATTATACTCTGGAAGCTTTGGTTTTTGACATAAAAACTATAGGCATGTTTACGTAGATGTAATTAGGTGACCAGAATTTAAAGAAATTCACTCTCGAGTTAAAAAATGACCGCAAAATTTTCGACAGACGGTCAATGATAAACATCAAATTAAAACAAAAACAACCAGGTGATCTAATTAAAGAGGGGAAACACTATAGTTCAGAAATCAAGAAATCTCTGCTGGATTTTGTTTCAACCTTCTGTTTTTCGTAATTCTTTTCTTTCTTTAATAATGAATATTTTTATTAATTTCCTCGTACTTTTAGCCATTTTCTAGTTACAAATATCTTTTTTTTCCGGAATGTTTGACATTTTCATATTTGTATCTTGGATGCTTGTTTCTCGATATATCAATATGCAGCTTTAATGCGAAAAAATATATGTTAGCAAAATGTCAGTTTCTACACACTCGCTTTACATGCTTTATGAAAACAATTAATGTCTGCGTTTTTAATTTGCAAGTTTGTAGCTCATCTTTCATTAAGCATTACATCACTTGCAACTTTTAATTATCCTGATATTTAGTGTGCATCCTGAGATCAATATCCATGAAGTTTGATGTAAGTAGGACTTATAGTTTCTTTGGAATAAATCTACTTTAAAAACGTCACAACCCATGAAAATGTTTCTTTCAGTTCCAACATCCAAAGAAAGTGTCCATCCTTAAATGCATCATCTGTGCAAGTTTAATCATAACAGACCATAAAATTACACAGCTAATTAATCCAAAACAACCTGGTCTTTTATCTGGAAAATTCAGGTCAGATCCAGCATCCATGCAAAGCAAGTATGGTAGTGTTCATTCCTAGATTAATCTTCCATGGTAATTTGTGTAAACACAGGGCTGCGCGTACCTATCAATTTTACAGAAGTTTTTAGTAAATTAAAAAAATACGCAATGCCTATAATAATGTTATTATAGGTATTGCGTATTTTTTTCTAATTTACTTAAAATTTCGGTAAAATTGATAGGTACGCAAACTCCTGTGGTTTAAAAAATTGCTAACATTCAGAGTTCTGGGAAAAACAAAATGATGCAGATTCAGCATACGAAGTAGGTTTATTTTACCCCGAAATGCATCATCAATGCAAGTTTGGTCCAGGTAGGACTTGTAGTCACTTGAAAAGGGGACCTGCTCTAAAATCTTTAATTTAAATAACCTGGTCACTCATTTGGAAAATGCAGGTCAGATCTACAGCATCTGAAGGAAGTCTGGTAGTATTCATCCCTAGTTGGGCTTAAAGTTACTTGGGAATGGGAATGGGAAATATCATTCTCCAGCACTTTACACTAACACCTGATAATTAACCTATTAATTAGGTTCTGTGTGAGGTAACGGTATTGGTGGGTACATCACTTATTTGTGTCATGTAGGGATTTTTCTTCATGAAGCGCTAACATGCTACGGACAAGTCTGTCTGATTTATAATTACATGTACATACCAATAATACACACAAAAACTTAAGAGCCTTTAGTTATTATTTTCATTTTTGCATTAATTCTAGTGGTTTTGACCCCACCCCTCAGACCCCAGGAGGGGGGGGGGGGAGAGAGAGAGAGACCATGAAATTCACAACCAAGAATCAGGGCAGTTGAGTTAACAATTAACCCCAGTTCTTTCATCCTTAAAGCAATATGAGCTGTAACTTTGATGTTGGAATTTTTTGTTGCAAAATTGTAAATCACTATTTTAATGACAGAAAAAAATAACGTTAATAAGCTTCTGTTGTTCATATTTGTGATTAAAGAACTATTTATAAGATTCAATTGAATCAAAATTAATTTATTGTTGTTCTATACAATAGTGATTTCTTATATAAAACTGTATATTGGAATGTATATAGAAGTCTTTCTTCTGCTTTATTTCAGTCTTACTGATCATAAAGGTTTAAGTTACATACAAAGTTATCATAATATAAGAATTATGTATATAATTTATGTTTATAGAAGTTATTTTTGTTTTCACATTTCGTTTTTGTTGTATCAAATTTATTTTGTCTTAGCCTACTTTTTCCCCCTTAGAGCCTCTTTACCCTGTTTTTGTTTCATAACCCAGCCTCACTTCACAGGGGCTTGTGTAGAGAAAATAAACCAGTTTAAAAAATTAGTACCTCGGAGAGAAAAATACATTTTTCTCTCCGAGGTACTAATTTTTTAAACTGATTTGTTTTCTCTACACAAGCCCCTGTGCTCACTTTAGCATCTTTTCGTGACGTCATTGCTTATATCGAATTCATTGCTGGTGCGTGTTTCCAAAAATCATTGTTTACATTTTTGATTTCAACCGCCACCTTCCCCACCTCTCACCTTTGTTGTCAGTGCCTTGGGGACATTTATAGGTAGTTATTGCGCACTGCATGTAATTTATGTATATAGTTTTTGTACATTGAGTGTACTGAGTATGTCATATGGTATCATTCAACTAATTTATGTAGTATACTTCATGATTTAGATATTCAATTCTCCAGCGCCATGCCAATTTCTCATTTTTATATATTTGTCTCACTGACGCTTAATGCTTCATACTTACGTGTGAAGTTGCTTATTCATCTAAACATGCTTACGCATGTTTTTCTTTACTATCTTACTAACTTTTCATATTTTTCAAACTGATATATGATTTATACTTGTCTAAACATGCTGACGCATGTTTTTTCCAGCTCTGTTATCTCTCTCAAATGACATTACATGTTTCATATTTACATATGAAATCGTCATGCTCATCTAAACATGCTGACGCATGTTTTTTCATGTCTAAATATGCTGACGCATGTTTTTCATCTCTATTATCTTTTTCAAATTACTTTACATGTTTCATATTTACATATGAAATCGTCATACTCATCTAAACATGCTGACGTATGTTTTTCATGTCTAAACATTGTTCATCTCTAATATCTTTCTCAAATGACATTACATTTTTCATATTTACATATGTAATTGTCATACTCATCTAAACATGCTGACGCATGTTTTTCATCTTTAATGGCCAAGGCCAATTCGTTACAAATTGTTGAAATTTTTTTTATCTCATCACCCCAAGTTTTTTAAGGTTGTATGTATTATTTACATAAGGGGGATAACTTGTGTAAAAAATGTTCTTTTGTAAAGCATCCCCCAAAATTGTTACTATTAAAGGGGAGATATTTTTTATAAAATGTATTTCCCCCATGATTCAACTTGTTTTTTAAGGGGGATGAGCATATTTTAGTTGTAATTGTAGAACAGTTGTGTGTCCCCAGTTTTCCAATCTGAATGTTTTAAATTGTAGTGTGTAGATATTTTGCTGTGTTGTATATAATAAACTACATGTAGTTACTTTTGAATTATCTTGTTTTTGTTTTAGTCTTACCAGTATAGATCAATGCTTATCAGACAGCTATTATAATGAACAATAACTAGTCTATAAAATAACACAATTTAACAGCAAAATAAAATTCTCAAAAATGCAGCTCATATTGCTTTAAATAGAGTGCATTGTTAAGTTATTCCTCTATCGTGTGTATAGTGTATACCTTTTCAACATTATGCATTAAACACTAAAAAATTAGCATTCAATTCATAATAAATACATAATTGTTTATTTCAACAAACAATGACAGAATCTTTAACAAACATATGCAATTCCAAAACTACTAAATCTCATCACGTTAGTGTGCAGAGATTATATTGTCACAGTGCCTATATTTCTATACATGTATTACTACACAGTATAGTATCTTATGTACATAATAACTTAAAACTGAATCATATTCCTCAAGATATATACATAATAACATTTTATTCTGTTTAAATATTTACAACTCTCTTAAACATCCATTTATTAAATACAATGTAAAACCAAGATACTACTATAGATTTTAAATGTACTAGCTGATTGGATGATTCAGATTCTTTAGTGGTTTGTTACTTTGGAACGACATTAGCTGATCCCCATTTCATCATGGTCACTTGCTTTGGTCAATAAGTGGTTTGTTATGCTGAACCAATATCAGCTGACCTATATTTCATCATCACGGACCAATATCAGTTGATCTCCATTTCATCCTCACATAAAGATATCAGCTGATCTCCATTTCACTAATGTCTTGGACAAATATCAGCTGATCTCCATTTCAATAACGTCTTGGACGAATATCAGCTGATACTAACATGTTGGACAAATATCAGCTGATCTCCATTTCAATAACTTCTTGGACGAATATCAGCTGATACTAACATCTTGGACAAATATCAGCTGATCTTCATTTCATCATCACCAACCAATATCAGCTGATCTTCATTTAATCCTCACATACAAATATCAGCTGATCTCCATCTCAATAACGTCTTGAACGAATATCAGCTGAAACTAACATCTTGGACAAACATCAGCTGATCTCCATTTCATCTTCCTCTTCGTCCTGTGAGGAATCGGAATCCTCTCGTCCAAAATACCACAACTCTGTTATTGCACATCCTAGAGATAAATGTCTGAATATTACAAATCATTACATATTTATTACATTGACCTACATGCAAGAAAAAAAAAACTTCTGAATGAAAAATTTTCTATAACTTAGTGAAATCAGTGGAATAAAAACTGCTATATTGTACCAGTATATAAAAACAATCGCCGAGAGAGGTACATACATGTATATAAAAACATTTTTACAGTAAGTATGCTTCTAGCGATGAGTTAAAGATAGAACATTGAATAGTAACATGTCAATATGATCCTTTTATCATTCTCCAATGCTTCCACATTATTATGACTAATCATGCCTTTGCTGTGGTTAAAAGGAACTTTAAAAAACTTTTTCTAAATTTTCCTACGTAAAATTTTGGTCTCCCATTGTTGCCCAATCCTATCATCCATGGGTCATGACTTGAACAAACTCAAATTTTATGAAATATACATACGTTCATTTTCAAACTCTGAAGGCTTAAACAAGGTGTTCAAACCACAAATCAGCTCCACATATTGATGCTGGACAACATAGTGGTGTTCTTCAAACTGGCCATCTACTTGGCTGAGGTTATGCAGGAGTAATGTCCCCTTCTGAAGAACTCTTTTGGCTTCAGAGGATTGATTTGATTGGTATAGCAATAATATCTTGTGCAAAAGAAGTACTGTTGATTTCTGCAACTGAAGTAAAAATAAAAAGTGTTAAACAGAAATTTTAATTTACCTTTGATGTTTCTATATTTACTTTGGAAGGGCAAGTGTGGATCATATTGGGTAAGGCCCTGCTTAGATTTTCAGAATTCTTAAACATCTTTGTATGAATAATTAAATGCTTTAAAGTACAGTTTTATTTTAACTAAGTCTTAAAAATTCCAACCTGCAATTTACATTGTGTATCCAACAGAAGATTCATCCCTGCTCTATGATGACTCCCAACATTGGAAAGGCATTGTAATGTCTGGAAAAAATAAGACAAGGAAACTGAGTGTAAAATTAATTCACAAAAAAAGACTCAATGCAAAACTTGGCTAAGTTTAGATAGGATGACCCTCTCCTCAATAAAAGCATTTCATTTTTGCAAAAACTTTCCTTGTTTAATAAATAGGCAATAAAAATGAAATTTGTTGAAATATTTTTTTACAATATGGAGCAAACTTTGAGAAAAGAATTAAATCATATTAACTTATATATTACATTTTAATCATAAGGTCCTTTTTATTAAGAAAGGAATAAATTACCTTTGCTGCAAATTCTACCAGGATCTCATCTGAAAACAAAGCTCCTGGTAATGCACACAGCTGATACAAGGGCAAAAACACACATTGATCTACCAAAATGAAAGTATAGTTGATAAAGTACTTTTATAAAGGTATTTACTGTGAAATCACAAATTTTTCGTGGTTTTCAAGGTATGAAGAGACCCAAGAAATTTATGTCCATGAAATGCAATTTTTCAAACAATTATTTAACTGCTGAACAATTCTTCAACCACAAAATCAAATCCCCATAAACCAATATATTTTCCTCAAACCAAGAAAATTTCTCCCCTCGAAAATATGTGATTTTACAGTCTCTTAAATTTTTGTTGTTGTTTTGTTTTGTTTTTAATATTTGTTTTTCCCTGATAGGCTCTGTATATTATCATGGTGATTATACGACAAAGAAATTTTTAAATTGCAGCATTAACATGACAAACGAATGCAATTAGAAAAATTTTTAGATCTGACAATAAAATGTTTTTTTTTCAACTCATAATACTGAATTCATTCCGATTAATCCTTCTCCTCCCCCCCACCCCTCCAAAAAAAAAAATGAAAAAAAAATAACTTACTTGGACAGGAACAAGCCATTAAAACAGCTTTTTCATGTATGGTTAAGGAGCACAAGGCATCTAGTCCTCCCAAAACAACAGCAGGGGAAGAGGAGCACTTCATACAATTAGAGAGTACCCCCTTCCCAAGGACTGGAAGTATACTGTAAAAAAATAATTTAATTTTGATTTATGGATATTCAAAAATATAGCTCTGGAAGTGTGAACAGTTTTTGTTCAAGATTTTAAAAGTTTACATTGCATGAAAAAAGAATTCTTTTTGGTCAGTTTGACAAATGCTACTAACAAATGTTTTAATATACATGTATTAAACCTGTACATACCTGTATACAGTGACTAATGCACATGCCATTTCTTAATTTTGCTCTCTTTTGAGATACATGTTTATATGACTATTGATAGCAGAATACAGAAAAAAACTAAAAGTTAAATTGCCTCATGTATAGTGTCATCATTTCATCACTGGAGGCTTGTCTGATCTGATTGTGTGGTCCAAAATTTCCTATTAAGATGAGCACTTTTAAGTCTCCTTGGGTAATTTCAGCTGTTTAAAATGATGTTTTTGCAGAATGTTGTCAAGTTGTCTCATCCAGCCAATGTCTATAACTACAGGTTTCCAAATTATACAATTTTTACTGTATACATGTACTCACCAAGCCAGCTGTTCCTCATTGCAGTGCTCACTCAGAACCCTGATGATGCTCAGTGCTTTGTGTATGACCCTTTCATTATATTTCTGTAAAAAGAAATAGGCTGCCTAAGATCTTGACATAGTGATCTTAACATTGTTGTAAAACAACAAGGCATTACAAAACTACAACAGATTTGTATTTTGAATATGGATTATCCTTTATACTGTACCCTTGACTCCTCCCCATTACATGGTTTGTGTGATTAGACAGTCTGGTGACAATATACAGTGTATATACTTAACCTACCCCTCACTGGATGCTTTATGATGATTGGTCAGTCTGGTGGTGACATACATATCTTACCTTTGGCTCCTCCCCCTCGCTGGATGTTTTATGATGATTGGTCAGTCTGGTGGTAATATTCATATCTTACCTTGGGCTCCTCCCTCTCTCTAAATGCTTTATGACGATTAGGCAGTCTAGTGTAAACATACATATCTTACCTTTGGCTCCTCCCCCTCGCTGGATGTTTTATGATGATTGGTCAGTCTGGTGGTAATATTCATATCTTACCTTGGGCTCCTCCCTCTCTCTAAATGCTTTATGACGATTAGGCAGTCTAGTGTAAACATACATATCTTACCTTTGGCTCCTCCCCCTCACTGGATGCCTTGCCAGGATTGGCCAGTCTGATGACCTTGCCTAGCAGATGACAGTCCAGTACACTCTGTCTGATGCTGTTGGTGCTGCTTTGACTGCTGGATATAGAGCTCAGGGAGGAGGGGGGATTCTCCTGCTCCATCTCCTCTTCCACAACCTACAGCAGTTTAAAAATTCTGATGAAAAAAGAATTTCGTTTGTAAATTTTTTAAAATTACTTTAACAAAATGGCATTCTTAGTGAAATAACTTTGTTTCTATTATTTTGACATAAGATGCTTTAAATGGAACACAGGGAAATCTGTACTATCTGGGAGATAAAGAATCTTTAATGTCAGAATATCAGGATGTTAAATTGCATGTTAGTGTAAAGAACATGGAAATACGTTGAACTGAGGAGAAAATGAATGCTCAAATTCCCAGTAAAATGGATTGCACACGGGTCAGCTTAGACAGCTTCCACTGTATTTGTGTCCAACAGAGATGATCAAGCATGCAATATTCTTTTCATACCTTCTCAAAACTTGTCACACTGGAGTCTGACAAGACATCATCAGAACACAGCAGAATCTCCCTCACAGCATCACAATACAGAACAAGTTTATATAAAACAGTAAGAGCACTCAGAGCATGTGACTCTAAGCTATTGGCGTAGGCTGCTCCATCTCGCAGCAGTGTGTTCAGTGAGCTGTTCAGGGAGTCCATTGTACTATCTGATGAACTGGAAGGTCCAAATGAAGAAGATGAAGAGCTCTGGGGACTCAGTAGAGTCTGTCCTCTCTCCACATAACAGTTCATCATCTCAATGTAATGGGACAAGTAGTCATTGAGTAAGGGTAAAAACAAGAGAGCACTTTGGCTTTCAGAAGACAATCTCTGTGGTTGTAAGGAGCTTGCTGATTGGTCACTTGACATGTTGGTATGAGACAAATCCAGAAGAGAGATGAGAGGTGATTGGTTACTTCCACTCAGAATGCTGTGGATGCCCTCCATTGCCCTGGAGTAACTGTTTGTGGACACTATGGGTCTCAGCTTTGGTCTCTCAACAACAGGCTTTTTGTCTGACATTCTGCAAGATTGAAATATTTCATGTAGGTTGATTTTCAAGATTGAAATTTTTTCCCATCTCAAAAGTAGAACCAGTCTTTAAATTGATATAATAACCTATGCTACAATTATACTAACTATGATAATCTTTGCTAAAATTTAGTTTGGAGCCCCTCTGAAAAGTGGATCTTTCAAAACACAAAAGGACAAGGTATATTAAATGTGAAAGTTTTTAGGATCACACAGAACATATTGGTCCTGTGTAATCATTAAACACACAGGACTGAACCAAATTTTGTCAGACCTAATAACCTAATGTAGAAAAGTAAAATTCATGAAAATGCATAACTGAGAAAATCTTATCTGGGATTGTCAGAGGCATATAGATCTTCTGGTTGGGATTAAGGGTGAAACGTTTACTGAACTTTGTAAACGTTTAAACGGATTGTTTAAACGGGAGATATTCTATGTTGGATTTTTATGGCTACTTACTCGTGAAACTCGAATTTAATAATCAATTATTTCACTTTAATATAAGTTTGAGTTGTTATTACAAATTTATTGTTGGTCATTATGATTTAAACGTAATAAACTCATTCACTTTCTACCTCGTCACCCAACTGCTTGGTTTGTTTGGCTACCGGACGTAGAAAAAATAATTGTAAAAATGGTTCTTCTAATCTCGAAAAAAGTAAAACAAGACCTGCTGTCAACAGGCCTTTTGGTAAAAATGTGATTCAATCAAAATATGCCAAGTTTTATATTTCAGTGTTGTAAAAAGAGTATTAGCACGGATAATTTTGTTAGCCCGTATCGGGTTTTATATATTTCATTCAATATGCTTCCGGGTTAGATTGTTGCTTATCAAATGGTCAAAGACAGTGTTTCTTTTGTATATTATGAAATAAAACAATTTGTTTGTGTTAAACTTTATTTCTGATAGACATTGATAATGACCTTCGTGTAAACGTTTACTGAAACTGTAAACGTTTAGAGCATGTAATCGAAACGTCGTCGTTTACACGTGTAATCGTTTCGCCCTTAGTTGGGATTGACAGGGGCATATACCGTATTTGGCCGAGTATAATACGCATTGATGTAAAATACGCACCCCCCTTTTTGAGTCTGAAACTAGGGAAAAAAACGCAGTTCGGATGTATTATACGCAACAGAAAAATTTACCAAGCGATGTTCTGAACTTTCGCAAGGATTAAGTGTCAAAAATTTACTGAACACACTTTTTTTTTAAAATGCACACTTTATAACTTCTCTTAATCCTGACATTCCATATCCTGGAGAAAATTATTTATTCATTTATTTCAACAAAGTACAAGATAATATTCCGTGAAAGTATTAACAGATTTTTTTAAAGAATAGTTACGGTGATTTTGAAATAATGCGTCGCCATATTCTTAGATGAAATAATTTTATTTCAACAAAGCAAGAGATATTGTTGAAAGTTTTATCAGTTGTCATATCTAATTTTTCTAGATAATCAGAAAACCTGGAAAAATGAAACATGAAAGTATGGGTTATTTTCCTCTTCTAAATCTTTGGAAAATGATACCACTTTTATTAAAAGTTTTTGCATAACTTATATTTCATTTGTCTCTCAATTATTTAAACAAGAGGCCGATAAGTATAAGATAAGGTAAAATTACATTTAACAATGTTTAATTGTTAAAGTCACAACACATGCTCACACATAAAAGGTCATAAAGACCTTTTTAACAAAGAAAATAATCAAACAATTAACATGGCAGATATCAGTGCTGTCCTGTAAAAACATTGCTTTATAAAGAGGGGTGTTGATAGGTAATTATTTTGACAAGAGCACGTGTGTCACAACATTGGCTTCCTTTCAAAAGGGGTGTTAAATATTATCAGTTATTTTAAACCTAAAATTAATATTTATTTTATTGTATTTTTAAAAAATGATTTATTACTTTGTCTGGCAGATAAGGTACATGTGCACTATCATTCGGAAACACGTGACATTATAACGTCTAAAAATAACATCAGTAATGGCAGCCTCCTCGGAGACAATCAACATGCAGCTCAAATTACTTTTAACTTACTTTTTCATGTTATTTTGGTATCAAAAGATTGTGAAAGTGACATTTTTAAGAAGCATACCTTCCAACAATAACTTTCCGAAGTTTAAAATATGGCAATAAACAAAAGAAATTGCATATGTCTCTAGGTAATACTACGGTATGTACGTATGATAGCCGTGTAACCTGAAAGAAAAACTTGTCAATCCCATTGTGAGAAATCCCTTTACACAGTAATTTATTTTAGGAAAAAATTAAACCTTTGGTTGGGATTGACAAGGGCATATCTGACCTTCTGGTTGGGATTGACAGGGGCATATAGACCTTCTGGTTGGGATTGACAGAGGCATATAGACCTTCTGGTTGGGATTGAAAAGGGCATATAGACCTTCTGGTTGGGATTGACAGGGGCACACAGTTTTGTTGGGATATTTAAGAGGCACAGAATTTGCTGAAGTTTGATTTGGGCACAACCTTTTGACTGGAATTCAAAGAAGCCCAGGCCTTTTGGTTGTGATTTACAGAAGCAGTGAAGAGAAGCACAGATATTTTGAGAAGTATTACCTTTTGGTTGGGATTGGTGACAGCTGCTTAGAACTGTCCCTGTCAAACAGGAAGGCCTGGAGATCCATGGATGGGGGATTCATCTGGAGTAATCCCATCAGGCCTCGGTCTGGAATGCTCCCTGGACCGGGTAATCCCTGTAAACTCACCTCAGAGAGCTTAGACAGGAAGTGGTTACCTGTTACAGCACCTGGAAAAATAAATACAGACTGGGTTATTTTTATTTGGAAAGGGTGTATGTATAAAAGTCAGGCACAATGCTTTGTTTAAGTTGAAGTTAAGTAATATGTTAAGTCACAAAATGTACAAAAATGAGACCTTTTATCAAACTGTAGGATATTTTCCTTCAGTATTATAAAGAGTTGGTTTTCAATAGTTAAAATAAATATTTCATTGTTTAATGAAAATGTTTTATACCTGATAAGTTCGATTTATGCCTAATCGCCTAGACACACCTAAAGACATGTATGTACATGTAACATGGTAAAACTTTCATAAAGCAGCATTTAGAAAGACACACAGTAGTATAATTAAACTTTGCTTGATCTCTGCCAGATTTAAACATTGTAAGTACCTGCCCTTCATTCAGTTCATCTTAGAACAACCTGTGTCTTTTGAAACATTACTTCTATCACATTTATCTATCACCTCATGATTCATAATTTTCTCACCTTTTGAGGGCTCCACTTTCAGTTGACATTTTCTAGCTCTGCCCTTCCTCTCTGTTCCCTCCTTGATATCAGCAGTTATTGCTGAAAAAAATGCCATCATTTTGTAAATTACATACAAAAATGTCACAATCTCTTTTCAAAATGAAGCTTAAGATATATCTTTAGAAACATCTTCATGATATTTTTGAATGTCATTAATTTTCATTCTGTGACAAAATTTTTAAAAAATAATGATTATATTACAGTCATCAATTTCTTTTTTACACAATTGATGTCAAAATAACGTATAACCGTTTTTATTCGCATGTTGAAAATTTTGTAAAAAAGAGTTTATTTGTACAGTTTTTATTTTGCGCAAGTTATTTTTTACGACTGAAGATTTTTTTTCAAAAATGGTAATGTTTTTATGTCACATTATAGTTGATATAATTTCAGTATATTTTATATTTTGTGAATTTGCTTATAAAAAGCAAAAAATAACACAATACGTACCAACATCTACCATCTCCACCTCCTCCTTTTTACTCTGTGCAGGATGAACAATCTGAGAACCCTCCTCGGCCAAAAAGGACTTGGTACTGGGGAATCCCCCTCTCTTTCCCTTGGGGGACACCACGACCTTTCTGACCCTTGGGCTATGGTGTGCGGCGGACGTAGAGGGAATCTGTGAATCCCCTGCGGCAGACACAGAAGTCTCCAAGTCTCGACATTTCTCTCTCAATTCAGCCAAGTCGCGCTCCTTGAACTGTAGTTGAGTATTGAGACTCTGAATCTCAGCCTTTAGCTGTTTTTCTCTCTGAGATTGTTCCTTCATTTGTTGCTCGGTGAGTTTTAGTTTTTGTTGTTTGCTTGCACTGAGTTCTGCTTCTTTCGTATCGAGTTTCTCTCTAAGAATTTTGTTCTCTCCTTCCTTGACATACAGTTCTTGTTTTATGGAGTCCATCTGAAGGCAAATCCCAAATACTTAAAACTATCATTCAAAGCACATAATCTGTTAATTTGTGTTTTTGCAAATGACAATGAATACTAAAGTGTAATTTAAAAAGTTCATTTTACAAACTATATAAAACTACAATAAAAAAGAAAATTTACTTTAAAACCACATATGTTCAAAGGGTGAACTTTTCATGGTTTGAGGGAAAAAATGGTTTGAGAGGATTTCTTTTCCAGGTTTTGAAAGAGTTCAGTGATTATGCATTTGAACTTCTATATTTTGGTAGAAATGTATTCCTGTGTCTCTCCATACAACAAAACATGTAAATTAACCCTCCAACCCCCTTCCCAACACACACACAATTGACTTTACAGTTTACCTCAGCTTTAAGGAGATCACACTGCTGTTTGTAGCTCTCCAGCTCCTCCCTGATGCCCTCTGCTATTGGACTCCTCATTCCGAGGCTCTCTGAGGACACCGAGGAGCTGCTGTTGGAGGACAGGTTAGGCTTCCTGTTTGGAGGCTGGAAGGGAATCTCCACTGATCCAGCTAAGTACAAAAACACTTTTCAGTCAAATAAGCTCAGATTACGCCATATATAGCTTTAATTATTACATAGTTATGACGCTATACACTGGATTCTTTCTCAAATTGAAAGAGAGGAAAAATTCTTAATGGCACCAAATGATGTTGAAGGTGCATCATTTCCATGTCAACAAGATTTAGTAAAAATAAAATCAAAAGCCTGAAAGGCTTCATGATACGCCCGTCAAATATAATTTCAATAATCATAAATAGGTTAAGAGTGACTAAGTAATATAATAATAAAATTTAAAAAAAACAGATTAACACAATTACAGTAAGGGCCTAATTTCCTTTCTAATCATGTTTAAAAATTGTACATACATCGTAAGAGAATGTCCAGTCCTTTATATCAATTGCAACCTAATTTCTTTTCAGTCAATAAGACATATGAAGGGTTTCATAAATTTTATTTTAATTAATTGCCATTTAGGGTTGTTCAATTTATAAGTGATTCATCTTAACTACAACCATGACTCTAATGTTACAAGTACAATCGACTTAAGATAAGGCGCGGTAAACAAATGGAGGAAATGGATAAATACAGTAATACTGGCATTACTGGTCAATATCGTAGGTTGTAATTTGTAAAATTGGATTGAAGATCGTAAAAGTAAAGCTAAGATTAAGAAATTCAATCTTTATAGTCTTGTTGTATTCGTGTTTATTTTGTAATTATTTTACCGTATTTAAGATTGTTTGTACAGTAATCGGTCCTAAAATGTGATTCATTTTTACCCTATACTAGAAATTCTCCGCAACAACCATAACCTTTTTCTTGCGTAAAAATTAAACATAATATCGTTGTTTTGTAGTAGTATTAATTGAAGATACAATTGATTTAATTTTATATTCAAGCTATTATTCATTGTGAACGTTTTAAAAGAAACTGGTTTACAGCTGTTGCTATTTTCTATTGCGGATGCATCCACTGACACATGCGGTCAACGTAAACCTGACTGATCTATTATGACGATCATCTCTCCATAAAAATACAGTGAAACTTGTCTGATCTTGGCCTCATCAGTTCCTAGAAAATGGTCCGATTGGACAACATTCCGGATTAGACATCATTTTAAACTATTGAAAAGGACTTTAAGTTTATGTTTACATCATATTAACCAAGATTTTGGAATACACAACACAGGGATTAGGCTAGTTTCACTGTAATATTATGTCAAGAAAGAAAGACATAAATCATTGTTAATAATTAGCTAAACAAAATTTTTGGATAGTAATATTACTCTGTGTATACCAGATTTTGAAGAGTTGTCATGCGAAGATAAACTGGTGGACCTTCTGCCCGAAGAAAGGGAACCAGGATATGTTGTTGTAGTGCTAGAATTTCTGGAGGAGTTAGTGTTCTTAGAGGAATTTGAATCAGAATGATGGGGAAGGGAAATGTTTGACACACCAGGACCTATGGGGGGCTTAAACGTCACTCTGCCTGAAGGGGTGGAAGTCTTGTGGGTGAGCGTTGGAGCAGAGGGGGCCTTGGGGAATGGCTGCCGTGACAGGGGCGTGGTGGAGGGACCAGGATCTGTCTGATTACGCTTTGTCTGTCCACTAATGGCTGCCCGGGCCATTTCATCTATCTCTGCAATGTTTTCCTGTAAAAAAAAAAACACTGTATATGCAGAATTTTTAGCAAGGATTTAATTTTGGCATTATTAGCTAGGGTGCTGAGATTGCTATAATTGAATATAACAAAAAAATTATTGCGTTTTATTTGTAATAACTTCTTTAGTGAGCATTTTAAAATCACTAAAATTACATCTTGCTAAAAACAAGAGGCCCAGGGGCCACATCGCTTACCTGAGCACATCGGCTAGGAAAAAGCACAGATCAGGTCAGAACTGAAAAGTTTACTGAGATGGGGGGGGGGGGGTATGGTATCCCCTACCCTCCCTTTCCCAAAAGGCCATGGTTTGAACAAATTTAAATCTTCAATACATGAGGATGCTTACATGTCAATATGACTAAACATAGTTTTTCTGTTCTTGGGATCTTTCCTTTATTTTTTTATGTAAAACTTTGATCTACCTTTGTGGCCCCACCCTATTCCTGGGGGAAGTGTTATGATTTGAACAAACTAAAGGAGGATGATTCCATATAGATATCACTAATCATGGCTTTGAAGTACTCGAGAAGAAGATTTAAAAAGATTTCCCTATATATTCCTATGTAAAACTTTCTTTGGCCATTGCGGCCTACCCCCGTGGGTCATGATTTGAACAAACTTGAATCTACACTACCTGAGGATGATTCCACATGAGTTTCATCTTTGCTGACCCAGTGGTTCTTGAAAAGAAGATTTTTAAAGATTTTTTCTACATTTTTCCTGAAGTACTCAAGAAGATTTAAAAAGATTTCCCTATATATTCCTATGTAAAACTTTTATCCGCCATTGAGGCCACACCTTACCCCAAGGGGTCATGATTTGAATAAACTTGAATCTACACTATCTGAGAATGATTCCACATGAATTTCATTTTTCCTGGCCCAGTGGTTCTTGAGAAGAAGAATTTTTTAAAAATTCCATTAATTTTTCACAAATTCATAATTATCTCCCCGTGGAAGAGAGCGTGGTCCTTCATTTGAACAAACTTGAATCCCGTTAACCCAAGGATACTTTGTAGCAAGTTTGGTTGAAATTGGCCCTGTGGTTCTTGAGAAGAAGATGAAAATGTAAAAAGTTTATGACGACAACGACGACAACAACAACGACAGACAACGGACAAATTTTGATCAGAAAAGCTCACTTGGGCCTTCGGCTCAGGTGAGCTAATAAAAGACCAATTTATAAGGAAAATCATTAAATAATCATCTCGCTAAAATTTCCTGTTATACTGTACCAGTTCAATTTGTTTCCTTCTATTAAAGTAAACATACCTAGACAAAATTATAAAATACCTGGTACATTTGAAATATAAAGGAGGCATATCATTACAAACCTGGTATTTTTTGAGTTAGCTAAAAACTTAAGTTTTAGGTCGCAAACTCATTTTCCATAATAATTTAGAAAGCTCTTGTAATGAGAAACAAATGGCATCTTTTCTTATAGACATGCTGGGCAGAAACAGACAATAAACATGTGATTCCATAACATTCTTCTGTGTAATAAAGTGACATAAAAATTTCTTTTCATTATGTTAGAAATAATGTAGAAAGTTTTCTTCCTCCTTTTAAGAATTTGTGAAAGTCTGAAGCAGTAAACAAGTGGATGGTTTTCAAAAAATAATCTACTTTTGAAAGCAATTAAAAAATTACATTCATTAAATTATGTTGAACATGTCTTCGGGGATAAAAAAGCAATCAAGTAAAGAGAAATTCACTGACACCTGCTTTTGATTTACCATGTTCACACTTTATGTTTATTTGCTATATGTTATCTTATTCTGTTAAAAAAAATTCCATTCAAACAAAAATAATTCAAGTTAATAAATTCTGAAACCCCAAACAATACTTACATCTCATATCTAAAGCTGTACAATAAATGTAAACTACACCAAATCTAATTTTACGAAGAATCTCTTCACAAGGTGAATCATCGGTTATATGTACTGTACAGTTGTAAGTGTTGAAATTCAAAGTTTCTAAAATTTCCAATTTTGTTACAAGGCTACAAACCAACAGGGAAGGTTTTTAATTTAAGGTAGGATTCTTCTCTGGTTTCTGACTAGATGAAACATTCAAAGTATATTTGCTCATATATCTTGTATATTTAGGTGTAAGGGATTTAAAAGACTATATTTTTCTTTCCTCTTCACAATTGTACAACTTTAAATAGAAATGGTAAACTGCGTTTGAAAAATAGCAGGACTACATTTTTGGCGGAATGGTGGCGTATGAAAATATCTTCTTTTCTGCCTCTCAAAATTATAATATAACAACTAATTTAGTTATAATTTTTAGACAATCAAAGACTTGCAGAAATTTTCAAATGTAAGTTAGATTAATAATAAGGGACTAAACTTTCAAAATATATCAAATAAATACGATTTTTCAAACAAACTAGAACTATGTTAGCTTTTAAACTCTTCCAATCAAAGTATAGAGTTGAGCCCAAAATCCACAAAAAGTATTTTTATCTCTTAATAAACGGTCAAAACTTTTTATTTTTGTATCATTTTGTACACTTATAAGACTACTTTATTATTTGTGAAAATAAGAAAAAGTTAAATATAGGAAGCATATGAAAATAACTAATATATCCTAAAAAATTAAGAAAAACGGAAAAAATTCGGATTAGCCAATATCCAGTCTAGTTATATTATTTATGTAAATTTGGTAATATCATGCAATAGACCGGATATAGTAAAATCTTCTTATGCAAAAAGAACAATCTTTAAACTTTTGAAATAGAAGTAAGCATCACACGATTGGCAACAGTATTCTTTTAAAATATTCTTAATGTCAAGGAAAAAGATAATGACCTTGATCTGACCTTGCCTCTAATATAAAATGGTCAAATTTAATCTCACTGATACTATCACTTACTGATATTGTCTTCTTGATTCTATGAAAATTTCATTAATTTTTAAATAAAAGAAATATGAGAAGAATTTAATTTTAAGCTATAAAGTGTTCTTCTTTTACAAAACATTATCATGGGTTTTATTTCATGGAAAAAATATGATAAATTGTTAACAAAGAGAAATTGATAAGACCCTGTCTTATACCAAGGCCAATATTAAAAAATTCCTTGCTTGCAGTTGCTAACCTCTGATTTTTAAAGAGTATGTAGGGTATTTAAAGTGAGTGTGCTGAAAAATTGAAACTGAAAAATATTATTCATAATGGTTGAAAAATTTTTTGGATTGGGTACATTTTCAATGGGAGTCAATAACAGCGGTTTATAAAAAAGCATAAACTGCCCCAAGTTATGTTATATCCTATAACATAGGTTAAAATAACCTCCATTCATTATAATTTCATTTCAGGGTAGACAATAAGACAATTTTGCCTCCAAAACTGGCTTAAAATTGAGCATATTTTAAAAGAAACGTCAAGCGGAGTTATACACTTTTGTTGTTATTCATTGTGACGTAGGCATTAGGCAATTTATGTTATTTGATATCAACTAGTTCTTAAACTAAAATTAAATTATAAAAAGAAAAAGGGAAAAGTGCATATACCTTGTACTTTTCACTTAAAACTGTACCTTCATTTCCGTGATAAATCAATAAACTAAAATGACAGCTAGCTATCACACCATTACTACATAATACTAGAATATACATATGTATTTAAAATCATACCACTAGACAAGCTTGCTGCTATGCTTGATATCAAGATATTTTGAATCAAAGTATCTGTTACTATAATCTTAGGGTTTTACTTTGTTCAAAATCACACTTCTGCCATGAACTGCATACCAGTCCTGGCCTGGGGGCCATTTAACTTAGACAAGCTCACTTTTGATCTCCGTCTCACTTTTCCTTTGGTAAAAATGAGACTGAGATAAAAAGTGAGCTTGTCCAAGTTTTATGACCCCCATACAAACTATTAAGTAAGTGCCATATATATACAGATCTGCGTCAACATAAGGTCATCATCATCTAGGTGTCTTTTATAAAAAACCTGCGTCAACCTCATGTCATCGTCATTGTCTAAAAGCCTTAATATATGTACAGACCTGTGTCAACATAAAGTCGTCGTCATCGTCATCCCATTTTTCCTCGTCCTCCTCTGCCTTCTCCTCGGTCTTTCTTCTCTTCGCTCTCGGAGACTGATTGGTTGAGCCTTGCATGTTTACATTGCTGGACTGAAGGGGTCTAAAGAGAGAAATCAGATTTCAAAAAGTCATGCCCATTTTCACATTCAAATTATTATCAATGTTTGTTTTTCATACATATAACTCAATAAGCAAACAAAGAATTAGGAAACTGACTATGTTAAAATAAAGGGGGTGGTCATGCTTAGCCATGTGGTTATACCAGTATTCTTGATCTTCATATATTTCTTCAAACAATTAAATGATATATTTTTTCTTTATACATATTGTACGTGGGTTTTACCACTTGGAGGGTTAGGACCATGGCCTATAGAATTATTTCTACACATTACCTATAGCTACCAGGCAAAGGACTGTCTTTACTGGATTCCAGGTTATAAGTAAAGCGCTTGCCTGTTTTGCCCTTTATGCAGGAAAAAAGGGGATTATTGGCCATGCTTTATCCTCATGGTTTGCTATTGGCTGTTCTCTCTTTATGGATTCCTGTCATAAAAATTAACATTTCTTTTTTTTACAGTAAACAATGAAATCCAACTTGCATCATACTAAAAAAACAAAGCAGAAAAGAAATCCAAATTGACATGCATCTGAATCAAGTTGATTCAATCTTACAAAATGCAAATTGCTTATGCTACATTAGTCAGTGTTTTCCCTTTATTTTAAAGTAAAGGGTTAAACATCGATTATTACAGGCTAAGGGTTGATGTAAATGAACAGAACTATGTTAACCTTACAAGAAATTTTGATTTCTAGGCGGCATTTTTACCTATCGAAGCGGTCAATTTGGCCGTCAGCCAGTTCTTAGGGAAAACACTGATTAGTGATGGGAAATAGGGAAAAAAATAGGATCAATTATAGGTAATAATCAGCTGGGCATAATCGATAAAATAATCAATTATAATTGGAATTTTTTACTTAAATGAAATAAATATAAAAAAGTTAAACTTATTCACATTTCTGTCAGACTTTTACAAAATTAACATTTACTTACATAAAATATTCAAAAATGTTTATTAATTTTTCTTTTAGTTAAGTGGAAAATATTTTATTTACTTTAAACTATATATTGAAGTAGCATCGGAATTGATTATTTAAAAAAATTCCATTCAATGGGATATTAGTCCCACCTTTCATTACATGTATTTATTTCTTGGATTTACAAGTTTTAAAGGAAGTTTCTAGAAATAAGACATGTACAGGTCCAGTACAATCAGTACATTTAGCTACGTAGGTAGAATTACCTACGTAGCTTTATTTACCTACCTCAGGTAGCTTTATTTAGCTATTTCAATGTAACTTTTCTTTTTATGGAAAAGAGGCAAAAAATCGCAGTTAAATGACTATTGATATTTATACTAGGTTGTCTTTAAAAAACAATCCAAAGCAGAGATAGTTTAAACATTGCTGCGTTTGGTCAATTTAGAGCAAAACATGTAATTCCATTGTTTGGTTATCTGTCCGTGCGGTGAGGCATGACTGAGTATGATTACTTCACATTGTGCTGAATAATTACCAACCTATTATCATGTTAACCAGAACTGGACTTCTTTGTCATTTCATTCAAGGAGTAACTGTCATACATAGCCCCAAAACTTTCAGAACTTTGATTGCAATTGCGCAGAAAAAGACATTTCTTCAAGAGGGAATTTTTCCTGAATTGTTTTCACATGAGTTCAAAGTTGAAAATGATCACTGCATCAACATGATAGTTTTTGCACATCCTGAGAAAAATGCTTTTTTATAGAAATAAATTCATTTGGTAGCTAAATCAAGCTACCTGAGGTAGGTAAATAAAGCTACGTAGGTAATTCTACCTACGTAGCTAAATGTACTGATTGTACTGGACCTGATGTATTTCTGACAGTGTGAATGTCGGCACATTTATTTTTTAATTAATTAGTAGCATCGAAAAGCTCCCAACAACCGACAATCGATTTTCGGCAAAAATGTCCCATCACTATGCTACATGATTACTAACATTTTAACGCGAGGACTAACTCACTCCAATAAATTTCATTCCTTTTCAGTTCATTCTTCTTTACATGTACACTAATATATACAGGTAAATATTTAAGTAATTCATTTCTTACACTTTACAGGATTGCAAATACACAAAAATTAACTCAACTCATAATTAAATGAATTGTTAAGTTATTTATTCACTTACATTTTTAACATGTTTAAGTTAGTTATTAATAACTTAGGTGATAATTAAAGAAAAATAACTCTCAGTTTTAGCCTTAAATAAAAATCAACTTTTCAATCCAAGATAGATATTTAGCAATTTAGATAATCAATAAGTGCAAATGCACTGCTTTGGGCAACCTGAATTAGCAGCACAAAAACACTGAAGAGAAAATTCGAAATACACCGAAACTCCATTTAAAAAAAGTAAATTCTTAGTAAGTTATTCCCAACAAACCTTAGTAAAATATACAACAAAACAATGAAAAAATTTATTTTATGTCAATCTTTCTTACCAGAGACCAACTGTTCCTCAGGATAACTTCCACGTTACTGTCAGCAGGTTGGAATGTTCTTCGATATCAGCTTAAGCAACTTAAATACATTACATTCTCAATTAGGAGTCATCAAATATATACTACTGGTCTGATAAATATGACAATGTATAACAGATCTTTTCTTTTACGTTAATTGGTGTGTTTTTCCAAAATAAACACACACACCACGATTTTTCTTGCCACTTGTTCAGCACAATTCACAATTACCGCCATTTTTTGTCAGGTGATAGATAAGTCGGACCATAACAATGTCGGACTATAACAGACCATAACGAAGTCGGACTATAACAAATTCGGACTACCGTATATAATTTATTTATTAATATTTACATTTCCAATGTCTTTGTCCGAGATAAAATTACCAAATGTAAATGTACTTTATTTCCCCATCAATGTATTGGCGCGGTTCCAAAAAAAAAACACGTGCAGGGCGGGACAATTAACTTATTTTGCTTCGGTTTCGGCTTCGCATGATGTCGAACCTGCATTACCAGCTTTTTCTTTATTATGTAATAGTGTTTTTAATAGTATTGAAATAGTTGAGCAGGAAATTATTGATATAATTTCTATTCTCCCAGTGAACAAGGCAATAGGACCTGACAACATTAGTCATAAAATGTTAAAAGCTACCATTTTTAGCGTCTCTTATCCTTTATGTATTTTGTTTAACAGATCTTTAAGAGAATGTGTATTTCCTAAACAGTGGAAGGTAGCTAATGTACTTCCTTTATTTAAAAAAGGTGACCCATCATTATTATCAAATTATAGACCAGTCTCATTATTAAGCTGCGTTGGCAAAATTATGGAGCGAGTTATTTTTAAATATGTTTACAATTATTTTCATTCAAACAATCTTTTTTACAAATATCAAGCTGGCTTTTTACCAGGTCATTCAACAGTTTATCAACTTATTGAGACATTCGATTACATAGCTAAAGCTATGGATAAAGGAAAACACTGTTGTATGGTTTTTTGCGACTTGTCTAAGGCATTTGATCGGGTTTGGCACAAAGGCCTTCTCTTTAAGTTACAAACTTATGGTGTTAGTGATAAGTTATTATTATGGTTTCAAAGTTATTTAGATTTAAGGACACAAAGGGTATTGCATAGGAATACTATGTCTAGTTTTAGATCTTTACATGCTGGAGTTCCCCAGGGGTCTGTATTGGGACCACTTTTATTCTTGATATATGTCAATGATGTCGCTGAAAATATGTCTACCTTAAGCAGATTGTATGCTGATGATAATTCTTTACAGAAATGTTCAGAAAATGTACATGATATTCAATTAGGATTGAATAATGATTTAAATCAACTTGAGCGGTGGTCTAAACAATGGCTATTGAAATTTAATCCTACGAAAACCAAAGCTGTATTTTTTAGTACTAAGAAAAACGTAGATTTACCATTGTTAAAATTTCAAGATTGTAATTTAGATTTAGTATCATCACATAATCACTTAGGTATTCTATTTTCAAACGACCTCACTTGGTCGGGGTACATTGATTCTATCTTAGCTAATGCATATAAAAAATTAGGTCTACTTAAAAAATTGCAGTTTAAGGTCAGTGCAAAAACTTTATCTCTTTTATATACTACTTTTATAAGACCTAAGTTAGAATATGCAACTGAAGTTTGGTGTGGGTGTTCTAGTCAAGATTCTGAAAAACTAGAAAAATTGCAACTTGCAGCAGCAAGAATAGTCACTGGATTAACCTCATTGGCATCGCGAGATTCTCTCTATTTTGAAACTGGTTGGGAACCACTTGCTGTTAGACGAATGTCCAAAGTAAGAACAACTATGTACAAAATATTTCATAATATGATACCCGGTTATTTGAAAGAAATATTTCCAAACATTCGATCACAAGAATCAAATTACCTAACAAGACAATCACAAAATTACTGTATCCCTAAGTGTAGATTAAATATTTATAAATCATCGTTTGTTCCAATGGCAATAAGGGAATGTCACAATTCTTTATCTCTTGAAACAAGACAATCCACTACAATTGGTTCCTTCAAAAATTGTATAAACTCTCAGAAAACACCCACCCCGTCATTTTTTACTTTTGGTGATCGTTACTGGAGTGTAATTCATACTAGATTAAGACACAATTGTGTCCTAAATAAAGACTTATTTAGGTGTAATATTATTGACAGTCCACTGTGTACTTGCGGAAAAATAGAAGATGCATATCATTTCTTTTTTTCTTGTGTGAACTACACTGCCCCAAGAAACGATTTGTTCAATGCTATTTTTAGAATGATAAATTTACGTATTGTAGACACTCATGTTCTATTATGGGGAGATAATTCGATCAGTGTTTCTGAAAATGAAAGTTTATTTTTAAATGTGCAATTGTTTATTAAGAGATCTGGTCGTTTTTGAGTAATGCTTTTAGATTTGTATGTCCATACTACATTAATTCAATTCTGTATATGCATTGCCTATGTTAGATAATTTTATTGACCTTTGGTTCCTGTGTAAATTAATTATGTTCCCCAAACGAAGTTGGGGAACATATTGTTTTTACTCTGTTTCTTATTATTATTATGTCGCCCCGAACGAAGTCGGGGACGACATATTGATATTGTACGCATGTTTTTTTTATCCAGGCTGTTTCTCGGAGATGGCTGGGACAATCTTTCTGAAACTTTCCTCAAAGGACGATCACTGGTTGTAGTTGTGCAGTGAGGTTGTTCAGTTCCAATATGTCTACCGTTGCCATGGAAACCTGTAAAAAGCGACAAATTTTGTCCGAGAGTGTTCTCTCTGGTCCCTTTAACGTTCGTCATGAAACTTTTCTTATTTTAATGATTAGTATCTGTAGTTGTGCGCTTCGCATTTAAAATTTTAAAATAATCGATTATTGCCATGGAAACCAGGTGAAAGTTAAAATTCTTTAATTTCGATTTTCTCAATAACTACGCAGGCAATCGTTTTGAAACTTTCAATGTTTATTCCTTGCAATGTGTCAAAGTGATTTCTACTTTTAAATTAATTGTAATTAGTCGATCACAGTTGCCATAGAAACGAAACAGAAAAAAAGATTAAGATGTACACATGTGTTCTCCACGGTCTAGGTCAAAGGGTCAAAGTTCGTCGTATCCAATAAAAGTTCTTTTCACAAGGATTACATATCTTATAACAAACATCAGCTCTCTGCAATACAGAAATGCTCGAATTGAAGGAGAAAATTCAGGATGGGAAAAATTCAGGAGTTATTATGTCGCCCCGAACGAAGTCGGGGACGACATATTGATATTGTACGCATGTTTTTTTTATCCAGGCTGTTTCTCGGAGATGGCTGGGACAATCTTTCTGAAACTTTCCTCAAAGGACGATCACTGGTTGTAGTTGTGCAGTGAGGTTGTTCAGTTCCATTCCAATATGTCTACCGTTGCCATGGAAACCTGTAAAAAGCGACAAATTTTGTCCGAGAGTGTTCTCTCTGGTCCCTTTAACGTTCGTCATGAAACTTTTCTTATTTTAATGATTAGTATCTGTAGTTGTGCGCTTCACATTTAAAATTTTAAAATAATCGATTATTGCCATGGAAACCAGGTGAAAGTTAAAATTCTTTAATTTCGATTTTCTCAATAACTACGCAGGCAATCGTTTTGAAACTTTCAATGTTTATTCCTTGCAATGTGTCAAAGTGATTTCTACTTTTAAATTAATTGTAATTAGTCGATCACAGTTGCCATAGAAACGAAACAGAAAAAAAGATTAAGATGTACACATGTGTTCTCCAAGGTCTAGGTCAAAGGGTCAAAGTTCGTCGTATCCAATAAAAGTTCTTTTCACAAGGATTACATATTTGAAATACGAAAGCCCTATCATTTACCGTTCATACGTTATGGCTAAGGTACTATGTTCAAGACGACCCCCCCCTTTTGAAGCACACAGCCAGGTAGAATACACAGATATAACATATACATCTTACAAGTAACGTTTTAAAAGTTTCATTCATAAAATTCAGTTCCCGTCATGTGATATTTTGCCAACATTCATTCTCCTTCTGTTTTGTCTCTTGAATTTATAATTATTTTATTTTATCTATATAAAAAAAATAACGATTGTCAGCTGCATTTATTATCATTTAGCGTTTTCTTGTATATCTATTACTTGTATATTATTCATTTCATTAGATAGTGCAAGTATAAATTTAAAAAATGGTACGTCATTTCCATAGTTTTTATTCATACATAAATCCCTGGATCCGCTCCTGCGGGTTCGCAAAGCCTTGATCACCACTGTATACAAAACATTCATCTCGCCGAAAATGTTCATGATTCCGCTAAACTGAGAAAGTTTACACATGATTTATCATCTTATAACAAACATCAGCTCTCTGCAATGCAGAAATGCTCGAATTGATGGTGGCATGTCAGATTCGTTTTTTGGCAGAACCTCTAAAATGAAAGTGAAAGATGGAAATTTCAGAGTTCTCACTGGCGTTACAATACACAAAATAATTCGGCTGATCATCTTCATAAATTACATTTGCGAAGCTTTTATGATAGGAAAGATACTGCCAATTAACAAGTATGAGGCTCAGTTCAGTACATCTGCCAGATTTCTTTTATGCAAGTCTGCAAATTTAGGAACTTGTAATTTTCCTGCACTACTTTCTTCTCCTACCGATTCTAAAAATAATTAGTGGGATGTACCCAATTAAGGTCTTTCGTTTCCAATGGAAAGGACTGATACAACTCGATGGTTGTTCAAACTTAGCTAATGGACTTTTGCTTTAGTGATGATAAAAATGAAAGTCTTCTCCAGTACGGGGCGACATATGCTATTGCTTGCAATAGCAGACTTTCTAGTTATTATTATTATTATTATTTTTCTTCTTCTTCTTCCTGGGTACTTTTTTGTCCGGGAATGATCTCGTAAATTATACATCCGACTAAGGTGAAATGTTTTTAGGGTCAGTAGACATGTTATGTAGATTTGCGGAACGAAGGTCATTTTGCGCGCACGTGCTTGCAAGAGCGTGCACGTGCATCATGTGTAATGACCGATTTAATTGATATAGGCGTAACTTTTTACATTTTTGATTAAATGCTTTGAAACTTATAATATAAGGATATATTAGTAGCATAGACAATATGACATGGTCAAAATAGCAAGATCTCACGCGCATGCACGTGCGCTTTGCTCTGATTGGCTGAAACTAAAGTCTCAATATCTTTCTTGTTTT